TGCGGAACCGGAGATATATTAGGTTGTCCGGAAAGTTCTCAGCGTTTTGTGCACCTATTTTTTGTACATTCACTGCTGATTAAAAACTCATTCTGCCTTGCTTCTCAGTAGCACATCCTGTAGAGAATTTCTTGCGCTATCTGATGGTATAATTGCCGTTTCACCATTGCTTGATAAACCCCCTTTTTTCAAGATTTTTTCAAGCATGTGAAAAGAGCACTTCGGACGATTTTTTCTTCGACTATAAATTGGGGCAATCCGCAATCGAAACAGCTCAACAAATTAACCAGGTGTGGAGGCCCAATAGTGCTAGAGAAAGCACTGTGCGGCAATGGCTCAACAAATTTCGTTCTGGAGATTTCAGCCTTGAAGATGAACCTCATAGCGGTCGACCTAAAGCAATATCTGACGAGGATTTTAGGGGATTTTGGAGGCTGACCATCCCAAACAGTTCGAGAGATAGCAGAAGAGCTAGGCCTTGGCAAATCCACTGTTGCAGATGGTCTGGAACGCATTGGGAAGGTGAAAAAAAAACTCGACAATTGGGTGCCCCACAATCGGAGTGACCGGCAGGAATCGGCACGTCTCGAGGTTCCTTCTGCATTGCTTTTGCGCAGCAGAAACGACCTGTTTTGGGCCGAATTGTCACCTGTGATGAAAAATGGGTCATGTATGATAACAGGAGACGTTCCGGACAGTGGTTGGATTTCGACGAACCACCGAGGTAATTTTCAAAGCCGAACCCTCACGAAAAAAGATTCTGGTCACGGCTTGGTGGTCATCGGCTGGTGTGATCCACTATAACTTTTTATCACCAGGCCAAACCATCACAGCAGAACCCTACTGAAGAAATCGACGAATTGTACCGAAAATTTTGTCAGATGCAGCCAACACTTATCAAAAGAAAGGGTCCGATTCTTTTGCCTGACAACGCCCGCCCGCCACGTTTTCACAAATCACTATCCATAAATTGAACGAATTGGGGGTTGAAGTTCTACCTCAACCGCCATATTCTCCAGACCTTCCACCAACCGATAATATTTCCCTTTTCAAACATTTTCAGAACTCCCTTGCTGGAAAATACTTCATCAATCAGGACCAGGCAAAAAACCTTCGTGGATTTCGTGAACTCTCGACCACCCAGTTTTTACTTTGATGGGATTTCTCGACTGCTGTCACATTGGCAAAAGTGTGCTGATTCGAATGGTGCCTATTTCGATTAAATCCGATGAGTATTAAAAAAGTTACGATCGTTTAAAGTGAAACACCCAAAACGCTGAGAACTTTCCGGACAACCTAATATATCCAGCAACCGCATACTCTCCTGAAAGACGTGTGAGTTTCCCCATATTTGCAACTCACGGGTGGTAGATGATTCCGTTGATGCATACCGTCACGTCGAATGGTATGTCTAGAACCTTTAAGCGCCCCCCCCCTCTTCCACTTCAAGCGCGTTACGGTCCTCCCACTGTATTCACGTGGGAATTAGGGTAAGCGGAAAGGACCAAGGAAGCTGTTATAATGAGTCATGATGTAATTAATGTCACAATACAGGCCAGCCATAAGTCTATATAGAAACCCAAAACTTCACAACCGCAACTAATTCGGGCGCTTTGTGCGCTTGGGTGACATTTTGCATTTGTTGTAGTTCCTTTATATTAGTGCATGTTCAGCTTGATGTAATCTCTCCTGGAAGCTGCAGATGAAGATGGGAGGCAGCCCTTGATCACAAAGCAGTTACAGGTCCTAACAAGGTGGCCTCATATAAATCACCTGAGCACCCAATTCTGTGTCCCACCAAGCCTGAACTTTGAGCCCTAATTCACTATTCCTATGGGCTTGAACTCATTGCTTGCCAGAGATAAGCCCGCTCTGGAAACCCAACAATAAATAACTAAATAAATGTCTACATTTCACTTCTATAGAATTAAATGAGATTTCGATTTTCAGATGCTCGTTCGTAACCACAGACTCTTCGTTGGCGAAAATGGTGCAAGATACTCGACTTCAGATGAGAATGAGAGCAGAAAACTGCAGGGTGAAAACTAACACACAATCAGGCATTCGATTTCGTGCTCATTTTGAACGTTCACAACTTTCAGAAAGGAGTTTCCATTACTCCTCTCCCACCACCTGTCGGATACAATCAGAGAGTGGGCTTTAACCCGTCGTCTTCAAGGAGTGGGTACGGAAACGATGAACCGACGTCGTCACCCGGTGGATACGGCAACGAGATCGACCAAGGCGGAGTGACCAGCGCGATTACGATTCAGATAATTGGTGAATGTTAGTTTCTTCAACCGTATAGGATAAAGGTTTCTTGCCTACGCACAATCATGACTCCCTGCAAAGCTGATTGCCGTGGCTTGGGAGACGCAGCCAGATAGGATTCCCACCAGTTGTGCGAGCTCGGGATACGCTCAGTTGGTAGGAGAAAAGGCGCTCTAGCTGTGCTTCAATACGCAGCGCATCACCCGCCCTATCGTTTGAGTGATCATGACTGTACCTAAGAACACCTCCACCTGACGCCTCAATAAGCGCGGTATTATGGGGCACACATTAATCGCTTGGGATTCAGTTTGGCGACAGGGGGAGGGGGAGTTTGCACTTTCATTGCTTCATTAGTTCGATACTTTACAAGCTTACTCTGTGTAAACCTGTGAACTCTTGTAAGGCATGGAGCGAAGCTCTCAAGTTATCATGGCCAAAACCCAATAGTACACACTGTACAGAACAGGCTGTCTAGATGGGTCGACTCCACTAGTCGATGGAAAGTAGCAAAAAGTGCAAAATGCCCCCCGTCGTTTGACTGCCTTATCACTTGGAAGAAATACGCATGAATGGGATGCTCAGGACAGTGCTCGGCAAGCATAAAACAGGGGAGTACAATGCCAGCAAGTCTCAAACAAGTACCCAATATCAAGGGCAGTTCGGCGCCGGGAGATGGAGGAGGGGGGGGGGGGCATTCTGCGCTTTCGCTACTTCCCATCGACGTGCCAAACCATCTAGAGCGCCCATTTCGTGAGCTTACAAGGGTTGACAGATTTTATCATGATGGCTTGGCGAGCTCCCTCCAGCTTCGCAAGAGTTCACAGGTTTGACCAAAGTGAGACTTGTAGACCGGAACTAGTGGGGCAGAGGAAGTGCAGAATGCCCCCCCCCTGTCGCCGAACTGCGTCCACTTTGCGATAGGAACTGCGAGATTTTCAACAAAAACAGCTTCTGGATTCCTGTGAGATATCCCAGGATGGACAGCTGAGATGAGTAACAATTGATCTTCATGAGGTGTCTCATTATAGCAATACTGCAGCTGAACAATGTTTGTAAATATTGCGTTTGAAAAAAGGGGTCTTCAGCTTCATTACGGGAATGTGAATGATTTAACCTTTACTCTAAGGAAGCACACGATTCCGAACCACCACCAGAAGAGGACGTTGGTATGATAAGCAATCCAGTCCCTAATCGCGAAGAATTTTCAAGAGTAAGAAAGCTTTTTTCGGAAGAAATTTCCAATGAAAAGTTTTCCGTTTTGGTTTCAAAAAAATCTGATTTCAGAGTGTATTTTCCGTTCGAAATAATAATCGGTGGCGAAAAAGGTAACGCTCATTCACGAAGAGGACGGATATTGACGCTTGCCGCGAAAGCGGAGGCTTGTCGTTCCCTGACGATGGTACGAAGGTGAGCGGTAGGATAGCTCAATAGAACCACATTCCACGATAGTCCACGTGTGGGCTACCACCTTAATAGTGATATTAGAGTGTTCATTTCGGCTTCCATGTAAGCCAGTTAACCAGCCGTCATTCTCAGGCAGCCTCATTTCCACTCTGATGGGCTGTAGGTCATAGGGTCCTATCTAGGCTGCGTCGTACAATGCGGATCTCCACTGAGGATCCTGTTTAGTCTGAGCTCATATTTGGCCCGAGGACAACTTCTTCTGATTGAATGATTGAAATTTTCTCACTAGATGCTCCTCCTTCCCGCACCCCAACTCGGAGCCTACTTTTGGGAACGTTTGGTAAGGTGATCAGTCGATTGATGGAACGGGAGGCGCGACCGGAGGAGAAATTCGGCGGAAGCAGGATCAGTTTCTTCCCCGTCTCAGTAGCACTTGTCAAGCCAGTCGAGGCCTGTCTTCCTTTCATTTTTCTTCCTCCTCCTTCGTTTCCTATCTCCCTTCTCCGATCCTCGCCCTTTACTTTTCCGCTTCACAACTTACATTACTTTTGACTTGGTAGATGCCTCGAGGAAATACCCTGGACCCTCGCAGCGAGAGCACGTCTGTTTGATAAGTGCCCCGTAACCCGATTCTCCTCAGCCCAGTGTCTGCTCCCTAATTCGAGCTATAGCGGCGTCGCGCGCGACATGTGCACCACGCACAGCGAGTACGAGTCATCCCCAGTAAGGTCCACAGTTAGTGTGGTTCATCTTCAGCCGGATCGCCTTGAGCCATCAAATAAATTGCACTAAGAACGTGTCTTCAATGGTAGCTGACTGCCTTTAAAGCTACAAGCTCGCGTTTTGAGCGTTCTTCCAAGATATCTGGTTCGTGCCACAGGATGGAGTTCGAGGCAGTTCGGTGACTGGGGGGCGGGGGGGGCATTTTGCACTTTTGCTTACGTCCCCACTGACGAGTCGACCAACCTAGAGCAGACATTTCGTGAGCTTACAGGAAAGTTGGGACAGGTTTTTGACACTGTGGCTGGGAGCTCGACGAGCTTTGCTCCAGCCTCACAAGTGTTCATCGGCTTCACAAGAGTGGGACTGGAACCAGAAGCAGGGGAAGCAGTCTGTTGCAAAATGCCACCCGTCCGCCGGACTCGCAGGAGTGGTTTTCGCATTTATTCTACATAAGTAGAAGCAAGCGAAGAAGCGAAAGCGCTTGAGGATGACAATCTCCCTTACAATTCAGAAGATAGGAGTCTAAGTACCTCTATGTAGTTGATACCGTTTTGAATAATCCGGCGGGGCAGAAGCTTTGGAGAGCGTGGATGAGCCCATTCAAATTTGTATTTTCTAAGCACGTAGTGATTAGTGATCGGTTCAATGAGAAAACATTCAGTGGTAGAAAAACGCGAGCGGGCTCATTTCATGCCTCCCGGCACCGCCCCGAGTGATTGCGGCGATATCAAATGTGTAAGCATGAGTAACTTACGGGTCATTTCAGGCAATTTCCACAAAAGAAGGCGTCCTGGTAGTGAATGTGCATCAAGCCGAGCCACCTAAACATATCGGTCCTCAAACTGTGGAATCTCATGAAAAAGCATTCGAGCACGCAATGAAAAATACGAACGAATACAAGGCAAAAATGGTCGAAGTGAAAACTGGCGATACCGCTCGCGAGGCATTGAATAGCCTCCTGCGAGCTGGACAGGTGATAAACTAATATTTCTGACTATATTATTCTTTTTTCAGCGTTTCTTATTATCAAGCTAACCTCAGTTTCCTCCCATTTAGGCCGCTGACGGTGAGAAACCTGTCGCTGTAGTGTCGTCCGGACCGATCATTTCTGGCGGAATTGCACCGGCAAATCCTAAAGCATCCGGATCTATGCGGCCTTTGCAAACGATCACTGACGATGATGATGAGGAACATGGAGAGATTGTCACGTCTGTTCCAGTAATCTTTGTCGGCAATCAAAATAAGGTATCTTGAAGGGAACCTTATTGCCTATTTATAATTCTGCTTTTTTTCGCAGTCGTGATCACTGCAAATGAGAGGGCGTCATAAGGGGCGTGGATTGGAATGCAGCCGAAGCAGCCTTTTCCACCAATTGTTGCGGGCTCAGGATGCATCAACTGGTGAACACGACCGCCCTGACTGCGCTCTAGTCCAAGTCTCCTGCCCCGGCGTGTAGGGATAGTGCGTATGTCTCATACGCACATCCCGGGTAGATCCAGCAGGGCCTCGAGCGTTACCTTCTAACTGTACCTACAAGTGACCTGGGAGATAGAGTCGTGCAACGATGCCACGACTGGTAAGCAACCCTCCACTCCCACATCTCGGACCGCCCGCCCTCGATCTGGGTTTTAAACAAGGTCATATATCTAAACAGTAGATGAAAATTAATATGTCAGTAGGCATAGAATAAGCAAACTTTGGAGATGATTATGGCTAGTAGTTCGAGAAACCGTTAGGAAGTCTTTTAAAGCTCCCGGGAATGG